ACAGCAAGTGCCCATCTAGCTATGCTTTAGTGGGGCATGACTTTGTTTTTAGTGTGGTTTCCTTACTTCTGTCCTTGTAACTTTGCTGTAATTACAGCATCTCTTGGTTGATTAACAAGCTCATTTATGAGCTCACAATTTCCCATTGCCCCGAAAATATCTACTGTTGTTGAGGTTGTATTAATGTAAAAGGCAAAGTCCTCCCTTGTGTTTTATTGGATGTGCTTTCCTCGGTTTTCCTACTGGCTTGGGGACTTTCTGTTCCTCTCCATGGAGTACCTCATCCCAACTCTCAGCTTCTCTCAGTGTCCATTCTCAGGATGATCTTGCCCACCAACATCATGTGTTGAGACAAATAGCTCCTATTGGTTTCCATGGTGAGTCCTGACTTGAGCCAGCCCAACACATCTGCATCCCATCCACTCGGTGGCATGTCACACCCCCCTCAGGAACATCTCTTCACATTTCCCGGAATGCTACGTCTCTCAACTGTTAATCCCTGTAGGGCAACCACTCATTCTTTAGTTGGAAGTCTGGATCAGAGTCCTACCTGTAGGAATCTGGAAGGAGAGCAAGTCTAAGACTAGAGGACCATGTCCACTGGCCAACATCAGGGACTCCCACCTAGTGCCAGGAAACCTGTTCAGCTGCTTCAGCCTCCTCAAATGCTCCGTCTGCAGCTGGGTCATCCAAGACTTGCACGTGCTCTCGGACAGTAGGTATGATACTACTAGAGCTGGGTCTGGAGAGAATGCAGCTTCCCAGCTAGCTGAAGTGATCACATAACTCAATACCTTACTAATAATTTTCTCTGGGACCTTATCTGGCAGTGACTTTTGTCCCCATGTTGCTTCTTGTGATCCAGTTTTATGGGGCCAAGCAGAGCATCAGGAAGAGAAACTGGGATGCACACTGTCTTCATAAAAATATAGATACCTTGCTCATCCTTCATACACAACAAACATGGGACACACTTTTTCCTGTTAAGATCCCTTTAGTGGCCGTGTCTAATGATCCCACCACCATCTCTGCAACTTACAAACCTACTTAGTGGAAGCAAAATTTCTTCTTGTCTTTTCTCTTCACCTTGTATGTCAAGAGCGAGTCCTGAGAGTCGAGTGTATTCCTCTCTTAGCTTAGCTATAAACGTCCGGGGATGTTTCTGATCTTTTAATTATACTTTGCATCTCAAGTGCTTTTTAACAGGAAGTAAAATACAATGAATATACAGAAGCAGATTTCATACCTGTACATCAGAAAGATACTCCGAGCTCTGCTTCTAGAGACACAAAGCAGAACTCATTAAGGTGGGGCAGAGGTTGCCCAACTTCGTTTTCACTAAACTCTAGTCCATTAAAAAATTATAAATACGATAAGGGACAAAAATAAAAGTGAAAGAATAAGTGCAAAAAAGGTAATGCATAGGAAATAACATTTATTCTCGTGAGACTCTACCTTTGGTGCCAGCTGTCTAAATGAGTGCAAATACCATCGGCTGATACTGGCGGAGATCTGCCCCGGTGAAGGCAGCCAGGCAGAGCGGTCAGGTACCTTCAAAGCCTGACTCAACAAGCAGCCAGTGTGAAGGGATGGATGTAGCATTTCTCCTTTGATGTGCAGACTTCTGCAAATGCACAGTGAGCCTGGGTGGTCAGACTTCAAAGGGAACCGTGACTCCTCACCCTATGCAGCTACAGCGTTTTTCAGTGCTTTGGAGATGTTAAACCTATTTTTATTAAAGAAGTTCAACTTTTCATATTTAAATATTTTATTTCCCTTCTGAAATTCAACTGGATTTGACCATCTTTAAACTAAAGATGTTCTGTATCCTGTAAAGAAAAAGGACCTACAGTTCTCTCTGAATCAGTTGAGCAACTGGCAAAGTAAGAAGTCTGACGCTTCAGCTGCTTAGTACTCCAAAAAAACCAATTCCTGTATGAAGTTTAAAAAAGCAAAAGGATTTAAAGATATTTTAAATAGTGCAGATATTTGTCTTATTGTCTGCTAATAGCGCCCTTCAAATGTTACAAATAGAAACAACATATAATTGTTTTCCACATCCTGGGTCAGTTTTGCAAACTTGGACTACTTTTTCCAAATACTCGTATAGCTTTATTTTATACTCTAGGTAAACTTTATCCCAATTTTCACTTAAAAAAAATAGCAAAAGAGGACATTAAAACAGACTATACACAAAATGCGCCATAAAACTACTGCAGTGGTAATTTCAGGTGCTGTTTATATAACAAATTAAATATGATCCAGTAGGTTGAATTTATCTTGTCCTTTGAAAGATTTTTCTATGCAACCTCAAAACTTGGTGTAATGTCTATTTTGAAGTGATTTATGGCAGAGATCCAATAAGGAAGAGAGAAGTAAAAGACCATTTGGCACACACAGTGTTATGGGCATTCCAAGAACTGTTTAATTTTCTGGTTACTGCTTGGGTAGCTCCAGGTTAAAGCATCTCTTCAGCTATCAAGGTTACCCTGGGCATTCACGTTCTGTGCGTTATTTCTGGTCCAGCAGCACCGAACATCAGTGCCACCGTCTCCTTCCACCACCGATGCAGTTCACTTCAGTGAGTGTGATGAGTGTGATGATTACTGCTCAGTATTTTACAGTTCTTTGAAAATGTATCTGTTTCTACACCCAGGACAGTGCTGCAACTTCAAAATTACTTTGTATTTATCTTTTTAGAGCAGCTGCCACAAAAGCACGACTTTCACTGAACTACCTAAAAAAATGAGTAACGTTAAATAAATCAAAGCTGTGTATCAATATTTTAAGAAGGCTGCAGTAAGAGCACAGTGTAGAAATGCACATTCTGTGTAATCTAAAGGAGCTCTTTAACTACAGGCCATGAAAGAAAAGTGCTCTAACGTCAGGATGAAAGAACTAGTTCAGTTCCTCACTCCTTCAGAACTCCCCGCGTTCATGTGAACAATTCCCAGCGTTGTTCTCTCTCAGTTTCTCACTTACCCAGGAGGGATAAAAACATTGCAATACTTATTACCTCACACAGCTCTCAGAAAAAATACATTAGAGTGTCTTAAAGTGAAAAAATACTCCAGCAACAGAGCAATAAACATGTACATCTCGTTAATAAGAAATATCAACTCAGCAGCTCTTATTATACAACAGTGTATTTTATTCCTAACCAAGACAGTAATAACAAAACTACTGCACGTGTCTGAAGTTACCTATTTACAAGCATGGCTAAGAGAACGAAGGGTACTTAGTGTGCACTTCGACAGGAGAGATTTCTCACTGTCCTCAGCAGCAAGAACTCTATATATTTTTAACGGGGAAATTCTAAGAGAAACAGCATGTCCTACAGAAGGCAATAAATTACAAATGCTAAAATGCAGGTGCTGGAATAGAAAGGTAAATACATTCAATTTTTAATACCCAGTGGACAAAACAAATAACTTTGGTTTTTCAGAACTGAAGTTCCTGTTGATTCAGCATTGGCATGACCTTTGTACCATGCAATTTGGCTTCATTGTTCAAAGCTTTACCATGAGTGCTGCCCAAATTGGAACACAATAATTTCTCTGCATAATACCAAAATATTGAGAAATAGTCTTATTAGTAATCAAACGCAAGGTCCTGAACACAAAATGCACTGACATCTAGGTTTAGAAAACAGCAAAACGCTGGCTCCAAATTATCTCAAGTAATAAATCACATTGATGCCATTGGAGCCAGGATTTCTTCAGAGTGAAATGATAAAATTCTCACCCACATCAGTAGTACTTGCTCTTGAGAACCACCCTATCATCTGAAAGGCTACAGGTATTAAGGCCTTTTTGATTTCAAGAAAACACATTGCTATAGTATATAGAAAATTAAGCTTTGTAGAAAATTAAGCTTTATAGAAAATTAAGCTTTGTAGAAAAAGTATCTTGTTTTAATATATTGTTAAACCAGTTTGTCTATTAATAACTTTATTTGCTGCAAAATATTTCTCTATAGAATTAAAAAAAATTAAGTTACTTGCATAGAAACAACCTGAAACATACACTTTCACTGCAGCTCAGTAAAAAAAACCAACCCAGAGTGTGTAGTTCCGATTCTGTCTCTCAAGCCACCCGGGATCCGAAGTGTTTTCTCCTTTGGCACGATGCACTGGAACACCACAGCAGGAGGGGCTGGAAGCATTTCTCTGAAGCAGTGCTGCATCAATGCGCTATCCCGGCTAACAGGATGCACAGATGGCTGCCCAGTCCCGCCCCGAACGCACAGTGCATGGCGCACGCTACACAGAAAGGAACAATCTGCTTTAGTCAGAACCCAAACACGGTCTGATCGCCAGGACTGCCGCCTTTAGCAACACCTAACGGAAGCATCTTAACCTTACCAAGTTTGTACAACACCCACAGTGTCATAACAGTTCTAAATATTGACCTCATGCAGTCAGTTATTTACAAAATTCATTTTTATGTACAAAATAAATCACTATAATTCCAGATTCCCTTTCATATTCAGTGTACAAGCTACCATAAAACAGTGCTATAACTGATACCTCATGACACATAATTTAGAGTATTTATAAATTTGTGCATCACTTAAGTGATACTGCTGTTTAAGACAGTAAAAAAGAGAAAAATTAACAAGTTTTGAAAAACATCAAAGGCACAGATATTAATCCTATGCCTTGAAAAGTAGCAGTGCTTTCTAAGCATTATTTGAATGCAGTTCATTACAAAATTGTTCTTTATGTTGGGAATATTTGTTTCTCTCATCTTTTTCTGAAATTACTGCTAGTCAATCCAGCCATGTCCTACAGAACTTCAATTTCCATTATTCCTGGATAGGATTAAATACAGTACATTATTGCCAGCTGTCCCACAACAAAACTTACTTTTTTTTTTTTTAAGTGCAAAGCAAGATGTGTGTGTTTTTTAATAAGGCACAGAGTATCAGTTATTTCCAGTGTAACACAGGATCCATATCAGTTTTATACATCGAAAATGTTCATATAAAATTCCAGTGTTTCAAGGGTTTGAACTGTTTCCTGAATCCAACTCTCTTCTGGAGTCTGAAGCTGGGTAGACAATTAGTGATACGGAAGCTGACTGTGAAACATCAGGTATTTGGGAACAGCTCCTTTGTAACAGAGGAGATTCAATAAAATCCTTTTTAGGAGTTATCCTGTAAGTAATGAAAAACAAAGCACAGGGACTCAGTTTTAAGCACAGTGCATTAGACTGGAAAAAATACATTTTTAGCAACAAAATCATAATATATCTCAAGCTATAGTCTTTTCAAGAGAACACAATACTGTCCTGTATGCTCTTCTAAATTTGCTCTTGTTCAGACCTGTCACCTCTGAAAATGATCGCGATGCAGCCACAGATTTCTTGAGGGTCGCTGTTCAACAACACAAAAACATCCGACAGGCTGAAGCTCCAGCACTCAACGCTTAAGAAAGGAAAAGACGAATCCTACAAATATATAAAATAGCCCATACGCTAAAGATACATGGCCATACGAAATAGTTTGTAGGGATTACAGTATCCTGAGAAAATACTGATTCTTCAGAGAGAAGAAATAGAAAACTTACAAGAATAGCGGTAATGCACATAAACAAGGGAAAGCCTGAGTTCTGGACCCTTACCTTCCTTCAGCTGCTCCCTTGACACTCTCAGCCAAGCTACTCATGTCACATGTGCTATCCGCTTTGTTTCTTTTTTCCACCTGATCCACGGTCAGTTTAGAACGAGGTAACATTTGATCTCCACTGTTTTCACCTTCCTCGACCCTTCGGGCTGATGTGCCATCTGCCTCTGTCTCCTTCTCAGATGTCTCTGGAGAGGTTTTAATTTCTGCAACAGTTTCTTGGCTTAAGTAATCATGTTTAGTGATTGCGACTGCAGAAGTCCCATGATTTGTTGTGCCACCCGTACTAGTCCCCATTGACTTCGAAATGACTTTCAATTTGTGGGAAGTTGATTTGTAGTGCTTCTTTTTGTGTTTAACTTTGGAATTGTGCCTCAAGAAAAATTCGCACGATTCTTGCAGCACTCTTCGACTCTCACTAATCGGACTGAAAGAAAATACAAGCACGTAACTGACTGAAGAGAATAACCTTAGATCTAATGGAATACAGTTTTGTACACAAAAACGTGAAAGAATAGCAACCAGTGATGTAACCTGAGCTGGATATAAATGAATATGAGGAAAGCAATTATATGTGAAAAGTGGAGGAAAAAAAATCTGATCATAATGGCTCCCCAGTAATTATGTCTGTGGAACAATTAAATAAAGCCAATTTCTTCTGCAAGTAGGTCCAATGAGTTCAGTAGATTAATCATCTAAGAGAGGAAAGCAGGATTAGCTCATCAGCAGCTGTATTAGCAAATTAACTTGAAGTAAACCTCGTTCAAGGGAAAAAAAAGCAAGCATTACAAGATTGACTTCATTATTTTTCAATTCTTATAGCTGAAAGCAGTTAACATCTGAAACACAAGAAAAATTAGACAGGAAATGGAAAGAGAGGGGAGAGGGAAAGGCAGCTATAAGCTCACCATCAAGGAATGCAGATGTAAAATAAAAGGAGCTTAAGGACTGCTGCCTTGCGAAATCCAAAGAAATAAAAAGATCTAAAAATACAATATAATTCATAAGTAACACAGATAATCTTAAAAGAAATAACCAAGGAATAAAAAGGAATGGAAAAAGTGACAACTACAAGAAATGGAGATGACATTTATAATCTACTTAAATCCATAGATATAAATTTACTAAAATTAGGTAATAAAACTGAATTAGCCTTTCAGGAAAAAAAAAAATGAACAGTAGATTAAGATAATAAAAGTGATACTAAGGAGGGTTCAATGAAAATCAAATTTAAAATAAGACAAGTCTGGCAGATGAGAAAAGCAGAGGATGTTACTATTGCATGTAAACACAGCTCAGTCCTGAGCCAAATGAAGTAATCAGAACATGGGAAAGGATCAAAGCTGATAGCTGAAATTATCTTCCCTCCTTGGACTGGAAACCAGAGAAGTATTAGCCAACGCTAAAGACAACAGTATGTCTTCTGCTCTATGAAAAGAAGAAATCAGCAGAGGAAAATATTTTCTATCTTCTGAGAATGTTGTCAAAAAGTCATTGTACACGTCAACCTTCCACAGACTCCAACGGAATTTTGCTGATGTCTGTATGCATCACGTAGAGTCCAAAAAAGAAAGGGTCTGAGGACTACATTTTGATACCTGAGCTATATTTAGGAAACATGTCTGAAATCCAACTTAAAGTATACACTTTAAAAAAATAGGAAGAAAAAATCGTTCTTACTCTCTTTTGCGGTTTCTGTTGAAGAAATTGGCCCATTCAGAACAGGTCTTTTTACTTCCCACCCAGAAGACTGGAGATATGCCAACAATTAATGTCAGCAAATATTTCATCAGAAACAAAAAGATTTCTGGCCTTGCTAGCACCTTTGCCTAGAAGACAACAAAGTTTCATAAATGCAAAGAAGAAAATATACTTGTTAATTTATTTTTTAAACGCAGAAAATGAACCAATTACGTAAAAGAGAGACTTTCTCCTGATGGGTGCTCCTCTTTGTTGAGGCTTGTACTGTGGGCAAGTGTTAGACATGTACAGTCAAGTCAGACCTGGTTCATGTCTACGGCTGAATACACAGACGGGAGATTACTCAGAAGGAAATATTTTTCTTTTAAACTGAAAGGAAAGATAATTTTGGGGGGTAATAGTATTAGTAACCATGTTCTTCAGAGATTGTTTGTATGTATAAGATTTATCCCTTCAACTTAAAAGAACCTAAGTGGATGAGTTGGGAGTTAATCAGATTAGACAGCATCTTCAAGGAGCTGCAGGGAACTACATAGTAGTTTTCTGTTTATTGCAAAATTAATCCACTTATTTGCAGAACAGGATCACAGGAGCTCAGTAAGAGATTATCATCTTCTGCTCCCATGCTGCAAATTGAATTTACGTTACCTGGCTTATCTGCCAGTCTCATCTAGGAAAGGAACTATTTTTGTTAGCCAGGTAACATCAGCCACTTAAACTGAAGTTTGTTTTTATTTGGTTTTGATCTGGCCAATGCACTAAAAGCCTGCCAGCTAGCTCAGGCAGGCCAAGCAGAGCACGCCACTCCAAGCTACTCCATAGTCAGCACACACGGTTCCTTACAGGGACAGACCCTATCCACTACGTCTTGGTGTAACATCCTCTGTGGCTACTTACTCTTTCCAATAGGTTAACGAAAGGCTGAGAATACCTACTCTTTCCACCTTATTATGCCAAGCTGTTATATTTAAGCACTACAAAACAAGTTTGTTTTGTTTTTTTTTAAAGTATAAAAGCCTTGTTTTCAACCTTGTATATTTTGGACCATTTAGGTTGATACACGCCCCAGTGCAAAACCCACTGAAGACAAAGTGCACTTCTTCAGAATAGAGATGGAAGTAAAAATGTTTAAGAATGCAGAAGGATCAAGCCTTATCATTCCATAATGCCTGTGCTTATATTCCACTTTTTAATGATAGTTTATTGCAGTAAAAGCACAGATGGTAAGCACAAAGCCATGAAAGATTAACGACACACCCACATTTCTCTTCGTGATGGTGTCGTCTTTTGTACTTGTTCTTAAATCAAAAGAAACAAACCACAAATTACTTGTGATTGCAAGGAGTTTTACGTACTTACAAAAGATTTAATCCACAGAGACTACTGAATATGGGCAAATTTACTTTAAAAGCCTTTCCAAGGAAGTTGATTTTTTAAGAGTCAAATGTTACATATGAACACCTCCACATTTTAATGTGCTGTTCTTTGGGTTTTTTTCTTTTATTTGGGGTTTTTTGGTTTTTTTTTTCCCTTGGTTGTGTTTTCTTTAAGATTTCTTCACATTACTGAAAATCAGCCTGCAAATGACAGCTATTGTGGAAAAAAATACACTGGAAATTTGTTTTGTAATTTCAAGTGTTTTATACTTCTACACTTTAAAGAAAAAAAAGACAAAAGTGATTTTAAAAATCTGGGGTTGTAAGCAACATTTTAAATCCAGTTTAGACTCAATTTTCAAGAATCATTATTTCAGCTTCATCTGAAATTGATGCAAATTCACCTTGAGTATCTTCAATACTGAGCTAAGCACCCAAATACTGAGCAACTACTTTTAGGAATAAACGCTGTGAAGAACTGTCCTCCCTGCAACACAATTTCTAACACGAAGTTCAAATACTGTAAAGATTATATATTCCCTTTAGAGCTGTGAGTTGGGATTTCATTGCTGAGTGCTATCACTTTGATCAGTGAAAAATTTCAAAGCAAAAGTATGATACCACTGATTTTGACTTAAAAAGCAACTAATCATTTCTTGAACTGATTACCTAACGCGAAAATAATTAACTAACTGCACGGTAGATATGGTGATGCATAAGAGTTTTTGTTAATTAACTTTCCAGTAATATTTATAAAGGAAACTGCTACTTGCCTGGTAAGGACAAGGAATATGGTACTGGTTACAGTGGTCAAACACCCAAGTCATTTCCCAGATTTTCCGGTTCACCAGTTCATAGACATAACATCCAAGAAGTGCTACAAGTGGCACCAAGTATAACCCACTAAAAACTCCAATTCGGATCATAAATTTCTTTAGTTTCTCCTGGTTTCTGCCATCATGCTGTATGACTTGCCGTACGTGATTTAAAGAAATAATACCAGCTAAAAGAAGAGAGAGACCAAAAAAAACACAAAGGCACAACGGCAAAAGCACAAAGTACAGAGAGGCATCCAGATCATAGAGACCCACGAAACAAACTCCGCTGATGTTGTCCCCTTCGACTTTGTTCATCGCAAGGAGCATAATGGTTAGAAAACCAGGTATTCCCCACGCAACGGCATGGAACCACATGGCCTTTTGTGCAATAGCTTCACAGCTCCATTTTCTTCCTGCTGCAAGGAACCAAGTGATTGTAAGAATCACCCACCATATAGTTCCTGCCATAGTGAAAAAATACAAAATCATGAAAAGGACAGTACAGGCTTTGTTTTGGGAGCCAAGAACAACTGTTTCACCAATTTCTAACTTCTCATCTGCCTCGTTACAGGCAGTTTTGTTCCCAAGCAAAAATCCAATGAAGTACATTAGAGAGACTATGCTGTAACAGACAGAGTAATATATGATCGGCCTCTCTGGGTACCTAAACCTTTTAACGTCAATCAAAAAAGTCAGGAATGTGAAAAGCGTAGCACAAAGACAAAAGATTGAAACTATTCCAATGAAGCTTTTTGCAACATCCAATTCATAATTTTTGAAGTACATATTGGGACATGGGGGTGCACACTGATCAATTCCTAGAAACTTGTAGCCTTGTCCATTGGTAGTGTGGAGGTGTCGTGGACACCAGAATCCATAATCCCTTCGGATCTGGCCTGAGGTCTTCTGAGTTCCATGTATGTTTGTGGTCACAGCAGCAGTGGCAGGGCCAGTCTCATCACAATCGACTAGTCTAGATAAATAAACAGAAGAGGAAAGATCTTAATACCCCTCATTCTCAACTCTAATTATTTCTTTGAAATACAAAAAAAAAAAATCTGATTCTAAGCACAGTTAAATTTTGTAGATAATGCAAAATGTGTATTAAATTAAAAACATCAAGTGGTATTTTAAAAAACAGACTTCAAATATTTTAAGTTTAGAATATTATTCAAACACAGCTATTTAACTGTTGTTCTCTGGCTGTATTGTTTATGAAACACGACTCAAATTGCAATTGTTCTTTTAGAGTCTTAAATTCTACTAAACTTTTATATATGTACATAAAAATATTTACAGTAGGTTTTTTAAAATCTGGATAAGAGACTGTTGGAAACAGCAAATGATCTTGTCAAAATGCAAGCTGCAACCAAGGAAAAAAGAAAGAAGGCTGACGGTGTCTAGGATTAACTGGTGACTAGTATATGATTATTATAATTTATGTTCTTGTGGTATTTGTCACCAACAACTAACTGAAAAAGACAAAAGCAGAAAAGATCAGCATTGTAGAAAATTATCACTATTTTAGCTATTTTTTTTCTAGCTCCATAACGTTCATTTAAAAATTGCTCAAGACTCCATTGCTCGAGGGTTTAATTGGACACAATATGTGACCTTTTTATAGGGTTAATATAGTACTAGCAGTGTTTGACATATTTTCCAGCTAGATTATGTAAGCATAAAAAGGTAAGCATTTACTCAAAATGGGATTTATATTTATATACATTCCAAGGTTAAGCATATATTTTAAAAGAAGTTTTTCATTCTAGCTTTTAAAGTATGATTCCATTATCTCAAAATGTTGTCAAATGCTACTATGAGTCCCTCAATGTCCGTTTGCAAGCTCAGCCTGAGCTAAAAACCCTTCGGTTCTTTGTTTCTCTGCATTACCATGCTGTCCAAATAAATCCAGGCTAATCACTAAGCAAACTGATTCCGTAGTAGATTCTTTCATTAACCACAGGCTGGACCAGCATGCATGGGAACAGTGCAAACTTCATGCACCCATGCCCCAACAGGCTTTATGTGTGTCTGTGAGAATCCAAGAGTGTGAATCTCAGGATTCCAGTTGCTGTCCATCCTCCCACCAGCTCCTCTTCCACGGGCTCCAGCTGTATCTCGGCTGTTTTAAGAACACCCTGCGTTATGGGTATTTCTCTGTATCAGCTGTTGGTCAGATGTAATTTTACATATGAACAGAGCAGGTTCATTTTCAGGAAATGTTAGCAGTAATAGAATAATTTAAAGCTGTAGTGATTCCTGCAAAAATATAATTTGATTGAAAATGTCATTTGGAAGATGTACTGGATAACTGGATTCGCTTGTCATTTTCCACATCTTTCAAAGCAATTCTTGAAGACATTAACTGTGCTGAGTGGCACTACTGTTACAGAGAAGCTCACACCAGAAGGAAAAAGTTGATGCTTTCTCATTTAAAAAACCCCCAACTCTCAAGTTTTCTGCAGAGCTAAGGGAAATGGCATTAATGCCATATGTCATGTTCACTCTGACATGGATTTCTGCCTGGGATCATGGCACAAGACCACTGTGCCACCCCTCCCTTAGCCCTATCGTGGATTAGCAACTGCATAGGGCTTAGAAAAAAGATTTGTTCACTTTCCACTCCCTGCTCCTTTCCTATACTTCTTGTCCCGACATGTGGTAAAAAAACCCCTCTGGTCTTAATCTTTTATAAGCATCTGCAGGTGAAGGTTGGAATCCCAAGAAGATTACACTCGAGTGTTTTCAGTGCTTTCCATTTAATATCTAAAGACTCATCTTTTCCCCAAATGCAGTACTAGCTATCTTCTCTCTGGAACAGATGCCTAAACAACTTTAAGAAAAAGGTGAAATTCTTTTTCAAAAGAGACTTTTGGCACGGAGGAAAAGCAAGACAAGGTTGAATTTGCACATTTAAGTGGTTAAGACAAGGCTTCTGCTGTTTATAGCTCTGTGTGCATTCAAATACAGAATATTTTCTATTTCATTATTTTATCAGCAAATGAAGTACTATCACCCTTAGTTTACAGATCAGAAAGCAGAGCAAAATCTATGCTGGAATGTTTAATATTTTAAAATTTAAGAAACTTGCAGTAAAAAACATCTGTTCAAAGGCATATGAATACTGAAAAGAACTGCTGCAGAATGTTGTTGCTGAAAAGTCGCAGAGGAAATGCAGGTGATCCTCTGAATAATGGCAAAGTTTTAATAAAAACACAGTCCCACGCATACGCACTGTAAAGTCACCAGTGATGGGGAAGCCGCAGCGAGGTGATATTTAACATTCCGCCTCAGATTTTCAACTCCGACCAGGTCAAATATGGAAATATCACCCCCACCATCTGTCAACACCAAAACACCCCACCTGGCACATTCCAGCTCTTCAGGCCACGTGATTCCAAAAGTGTCCATCAGCTGCTTACAGTCAGAATAGACTTTCTCACAGAGGTTTCGACACGGGTGAATGACGTGAACTTGCTCCAGGCAGGCGGGGACAAAGGCTTTGCACAGAAATGTGTGGACGTCTGGTGAGCAGTTAAGATTCATAACAGTAAGAAAAGGCTACGGGAAAGAAAAGGCTTTGGTTAGTAATTTTAAAAAGATAATTCCACTAATTTTCATCCCTATGGCTCACACATGTTCCCCTGTAGGTTTGAAAGGGAATACGGTTTGTTCAGCAGTTGTGAAAGAGCAAAACGCGGTGCCCTGAGCGTCGAAACGGAGCCGCTGGGCTCCAGGAGCACTGCCAGCCCAGCCCCTGCCCAGGGTCTTCGCCAGTCTGTAACCACCCAAACTTGACTTTTCCTCTTTGACAATACTAGAAATCTGAAAAGTATCACGAAAGCTCATTATTTTTTAAAAAATAGGGTAAACACTAAGTTCCTACATTCACCAGTCAGCTTCCAAATAAGTTCCTTGAGATTCTTTAAAGGTGTGTCTGTCCCTTTAGTTCTTGTTAAACTACATTTGCACTCTGAAGTAGTGTGTAGCACTCATTCTCCTCTCTCCAACATGAGAGGTTTGGGTTGGTTTTTTTTTATTAATATGGTTTAAGTATCATTACTCCTCATTTTTTAAACATTGCATTTCAAAATGTCAACACGACCGAGAATTTCTCCACCTGTATTACCCAGTACCAGGCAGTAAATAACTGATGACTGTTCTTACTAGAGAATTCACAGAAGGAAATTTCATGCAAGTTTTTTCCCCTCCCCAATTAATTCAATCCATTATTTACAGATAAGTGTTTTAAGGAAGAAAGAACCCCCAAACTAAACACCCTTCCTTCTCTACATTTTATCAGCTTTATTGTTAGGAAACATTATTTTAGCTGAAACACTACTGTGGGTGCAAACTTCAGACAAACCGGGAGTTCTCAGTTATTTTTGCAATTGCTGCATCATTACAAGGGCAGCTTATTGCAGGAAGCAAGCTGATAAATAGGGACACTGCACAAAAATTTTTAAGTAGGCTGACCTTTTTGTAAAAATAAGATTTTTATTTAGTAAGAATTTTATTTAATTGTTTCCCATTAACAGCTATGTATCTCAAATATTTAACCAACAGCTGGTAAGGGAAGGATTAACTTCTGAGCCCAGAATAGTATCCTTATTTTTGTCGGCTTTTGAGTATCCCAAGTATATATACACCCACACCCCAAGAGCAAGTCTTACTCCTCAGCATGTAGTTCAAAAGGAAAAAAACATCGATAAATAATTTTTCCCCTTCAAAATGGAATATCTACAAATCCTCAAGGGACCTTTGTAATAAACATAGGAATGTGTGGGGAGGGGGGGACGGGAGAAGATAAGACAGAATAAGAATAACAGAAAAATGCTTTATGAAAAACCAAAAAAATGTTGGCACCATCCTTCAGCGCACTCGGGTGCGTGCTGCACCTGCAGATGCCATTACAGCAGGCGCGCAGAAGCCTGATCCCCTCTGGATGGCTGCTTTGGAGCTGCCTTCGCAGGAACCCAGGACTTGAGTATTTTGTGACAAGGAGAGGAGTATAGCTCTGCTATAATATGCTCCACTGCCATAAATCGGATTATTTCCTAAATGCTATGTGGCTTCAGATGAAAAAAAACGAGTCAGGAGTTAACACTAAATGAATGAAATTTCCTTTGCACAACTGCGATGCATGTTTTCTTTTCAACTGAATTTTATTTCCTCCAATGTTTAATTCTTGCTAGCTCCATTCTTCCTGGCACTCAGGATAAAATAAAGATAATAGCCTGGGTAGCCATATCCACCTCCAACAGAAATTGAGTTTACTTTTGAAATTGTCTTGACTGTTACGAATTCTTCCTTTTCATCACACACAGTTCATCTCAGTTGATAAAAAATAAAATTAATTTTCTACAGCAAGTTCTGGGGTGCCAATCAAAAATTTGTACAGACTGAAGTAAAACAGCAATACTTTCTCCAGAAAGTAAGAATTAAAAAAAAAAAGAAGAGCAAACCAACAATATTCAGATCTATGAAACCAACTATATCTAAAGAGGTATTTTACTAGCTATAGTGATTAGCAGCTAACAATTTTTAAATAATATTTTCCTTTTACTACCACGTTGTCATTGGCTAAATGCTGCTGTTTAAAGAATGTCTTTTATTTAAATGCAAAACTACCTTAACAGACAAACACAAAAATGCAAAATTTTACGAAGAAAGCTATGCACAGAGTAGAAATCCAAGGACTTGGCTGCCAATGGTAATTGTTCTTACAATATTTCTTTCAGCTTGCTAAAAATATTTACCTTTTGGCACCTGAAAGTATGAACACAAGTTAAGAACAGGAAGCCTGATGTCCTGAAAACACAAGCAGACCTTCTGAGTCAGAGCAAAGGTGCATTTAGCTGGCCACTCCATTCTCACCACAGCTGCTAGCGAGGGGTATAAGACAAGCTGACATCCCTCCCCATGTCCTATAAGCAATGGTTTAGGAAACCAGCTGCAAGTTATAACACCACCGCTGTGTTGAAAAGACATTGACAGACTTTCTTTCTTCCTAGAACACATCTAAGCCCTTTTTCAACCACTTAGGCTTATATTCTTTATCAAATACTACAGCAATTAAGTTCCATTGCACCATTTCATCAGGCACTGCTGAGAAAACACCGTATTTTGTTTATCCTAACTCCTAGTTCTGCAACCTAGTTTGTGTCTGGACAGTTAACAGACTACTCTCTACTTTTTCCATGCCATTTTGCCATCCTGCTATCTTTTCCATATTAGATTTACATATCAACATCATAATGTTTTACAGTTTGATTTCTGTTCCTTTCATGATAGACTTTGCCTTCTATTTGCCATAACTCCATTTGAACGCTGACTCACATTGCCACAGAACTATCCACAGTGATGACAAAGACTCTTCTGAGTGACAGGAATGAATATATATAATATATAAATGTATAATACCGAGCACCTCTACTTGTATGAATAGTGGGCGTTATTTTTCCCTGTATTCATTACTCTGCATTTACCAACCCTAAGTCTCACCTACGTTTTATTGTCCAGTTGCACCTATCACAAGACCTTTCTGCAGCTCTTTAGCCAGTTTTTCTTTTTCTTAGCAAATCCCATCCCTCTTTCAGGTCATTTATGAGTTAGTTGTGTGTCAGAGGTCTCAGCACAGATGACTTGGGGGAAACAGTCTCGTCATTTACTTGCTATAGGACCAACACTATCAACTAATGATTTCATACCCTACTTTGTGACAAAACATTTATTCGACTTTTCTTCTTGTTCTTTAGTCAGGCATCGGAAAAGAAAGTTCCCATTAGGTTACCAGCACAGTTTCTTTTAAAAAAACATAGGTTATGACCATGTCAAATCCTTTTTGAAAACGGAAGCGCAATATGCAGGCTGAATCACTCCTTCCAACAGAGTTCATAAAAAAACCTCCAATAGATTTTACAGGCAATTATTTCCCTCAGCCTAAAAAACCCTATAAAATAGAAAACTTTGCCTCAAGCACACACAAATAAGATTTGTAAAATACAGATTTATTTTCAGAAACTGCCTACTTTTACTGTTTAAGAACAGTCAAAAAGGTCATGAATTGTGCCTGGAACTCTGCTGACAATTACTCATCTTTAAAATGTGGGCTTCACTTCCAGTTAGCCAATTCGGTAGGTCTGCATTTCCTGATGGACCATAAAAGCAAAATCTCACCAAACCCAAAGTATTCGCTCCTCCTGACGGACAGTGTGCACGCAAAAAGTGTCAAACCAAGATCGCAAGCTCACTGAGAGTATGAACCAGTTGCTTCAAGGCTGTGCTATCGGGATCACAGGCACCCCAACCACTAACCATTTCTAACCCAAGTGGTTAACCTGCACACAGGCACGTGTGGATATGTCGAGCATCCAAGACCAAGCTGAAACCCTCAGACTCACCAAGCCAGTGAATCTAGAATCTAGCACTATGGTCTTTTCCTCTTCTGGAAGGTCAGGACATGCAGGTGGCACAACCACGTGGAAAGGCACTTGGCATATCCCGCATTAGCAACCATTGTGCTGCCACGGGAAGGACAGAGAGGCAAATCTGCAGATCTGGTGATGGCAGTGCTAAAAACAGAGTGAAGCCAGGCTCTTTTCAAACGAAGAATGGAACTTCACAAAGCCAACAGAAGTCCTAAAATATAAATTCTCATATTCCTGACAATGGGAAACAAAACCCAGTAAATATGAGTCAAACTAGAACACACTACAAATCTACCAAAAACCTCCAAACTAATCACAGCTGTAAAGCCAAAGATGATGTAGTGTGTAACAACAGGAGAAGCGCTGCCTCAAGCAACACCAGTGAAGAACTGAGGTCTGTGAAATGCAAACTTTCCACCACGTCATCAGTGCAGAGTACGAGAGGGGCATGTGCCCTGTGCAGAAACCTTCCAGGGCAAAATGGCCTGAACTGAAGCCCGTGAAGCATACACGCACCCTCTGTGGACTGTGGATATGGTCAAACAATCAACAGGGGTAGAGCATCACTAACCAGCAAGAGGGGTATCCTCCACATTGAACAAAATACCAACACTTGACTTAGTAAATCCTAGATTCTTTACAAAGTATGTCTACAGTATTATTTTATCCAGAGGCAAAAAGCCAGTTATCTCAGAAATCCAGTTATAGTGTGGTTCTACAAACAGTAACACAGCTGAGATGAAGGAAAACAAATGGTGCAGAGTAGAGAATAAATGACTAGGTACAAACACGCTCTTAAACATGCTTTCCCAACAAATAAATTACAACCTAGAACTGTATGTGAATCTCCAACTCAGCATGCTTCTCTGTTTTGTGCATAGCAGGCTGACAAGTCCAAGATACAACAGAAACGAGCTCGTTGTTCCGGGTAGACAGTGCAGACATTCCATCCTACCTCGTCTCAGTTTTATCCTAGAGAAAAGTATTGCCAGAGATGATCCTGCTTTACAGGAAATAACACCTCACCTTAATGATTAATAAATGTTTAATAAGTTACAGCACTAGACTCAAACACAACTACTGCCCAGTAGGTATCATTATAGAATTAAGATACAACCTCAAAATCTAAAC